CCGGCCGTACTCGCCACGCCACCATCAGCAAACTTCGCACAGGCCCCCTGCGTTCTGCACTGTCCATCTTGGCGTGCAGGACGGCCCCTCACTGCACTTTCACTACAGCGTGTCACTATCGGCTTTTTACAAAAGCAAACTGAGGGTATGTCTACACTACAGGATTAATCCGAATTTAGATAATTCGAATTTGGGAAACAGGTTGTATAAATTCGATTGTGCGCGGCCACACTAAGCACCTTAATTCGGTTTTAAACCACATTAATTCGGTGGTGTGCGGCCACACTACCCCATTAACTTAAACACAGTAATTCGGTGGTGTGCGTCCACACTAACCCTAATTCGAATTAACAAAATCGATTTAGGCTCTACTCCGTTCGTCGAGGTGGAGTACAGAAATCGATTTAAAGGGCCCTTTAATTCGAATTAACTGGCTCTGTAGTGTGGACAGGTGAAGGGTTAATTCGGATTAACGCTGCTAAATCCGAATTAATCCCGTAGTGTAGACCAGGAACCCACAAATTCCATCACACTGCCCCCTACTGACAGCAGTCCTCAGGCCCACCGCACAGCTCTGCCACTTGAGCTACCTGAGGAATGGACAGCAGCAATAGGTTGTCATCCTCACTGTGGGCCAGCCAGAGGCGGAGGCGAGACACACGCTTTGCCGAGTTCACAGCTTGGCCCGCAGCAGAATGCAGACAGGCAGGAATCCTGGACTCTAGGCCAGCTTCTGGGGGTGGGGGGCCACAGGTCTGCCTGACCCTTCTGCCTCAACCCCCACCTCCCCCCCAGCCCTGTCCTTGTCCCAGTCCTCCCACCCCCACTCCTGCCCCTCAACCCGCCCAGGCCCAGCCCCTCACCCCTCTGCATCCCAGCCACTCCTGCTCCCCACCCTGCCGGGGATCATAGAGCACACAGCCAGCCAGGCTCCCCAAGGTGCTGCTTTCCCCAGCAGCCGGCGGGCCCAGAGACCGCTGTCGCTCCAGGGGATGCCGCACACGCAGTGGGGTGACGTGCTGGAGCCAGGGCTTGGAGCACGCACAGTGCAGAGGGAGAACAGGGTTTTTTTCCAGATCCAGATGCGGCCGGATTGCCAGGGAGGGCAAAAGGCACATCCCTGGCAGCAGGGGGACGCCTCTGCCCCCGCCCAAGTTCATGCCCCTGTGCCCCAGCATGGGGGTGCTACAGCGGCTCCAGTCCACGGCTGTACGAATTCTGTAACAGGGACAAACTGACGTACGCCCCCGTCCTGGTCCTGGCGGCTCCGGCTGACACTTCCTTGAAGGCGCCCGGGGTCAAGCTTGGCTCACACTGAAAATGGTCACCCAGCGAGAAGCGTCGGGCAGCCCGAGGACCGGGGTGGCTACGCGCGCTGCTCCCAAGGAGCTGGGAAGGAGGGACCCACATTGCCCGAGGCCCCAGCGTTATTTCGGGTCGTCAGGCCCACAGCAGGCTGGGGGCGAGCGAGGGGAGCTGGCAGCACAACGGCAGATGACATTTGGTGCTGGCAAGTGCAAAGTAAAATACGAACTGTTCCCACCCGTTGCCTGGTTCTAGATGAACCGTAGCTGCTCTGAGAAGAGACGAGAGCATCGTTCTGACCAGCTCTGGGCAGCATTGCCAGCCGCACAGCCCCATGGTTAGGGTGGGTAACGAATGGGATAGAAATGCGGTAATGTCAGGGAACGGCAGCGGTGCCCGCGGCTGGCCCTCTGCTCAGTTCAGAGCCCCAGCTCCGAACGGTTACAGCACACCATGAGCACGGCCAGAGCGGGTCAGACCAACAGTCCAGCTAGCCAGAGCTTCAGGGGCAGTGCAGGGAAGAGGGTAAGTTTCCAGAGATCCCTGCCCCATCTTCCGCTCCAGGCCCTGTGGGGAGAGAGGCCATGGGGCAGGGCTGTTTAACCTCCAGAAGAGACGAATACCAGGAGACATGCCAGACAGTAACTAGCGCCTGGCACAAGGCAGGGCGTCTGGCTGCTGTCAGCCCGGCTCAGGGCACACGGACAAGGGGGCGGCTAAGGACATTGCTATGGGCTGACTGAAGGGAACAGCACTGCCCAGGTTAGCCAGGGCGGTGTGAACTCCCTGCCCCCAGACCAGGAGCTGCCATCCTGCTAGACCGACGGACATGGCTACTGCTAGGGGCACAATGCCCTGGGCAGGGCACGAGCGCCCAGCATGATGGGCTGGGGAAATGGGCCCCATCGGCAGGTCACCCGCGAAGCCCAGACCAGGGCTCCTGGGGGCAATGGGACTGGCCCGTCCCACGCAGGTCCTGTCTCCCAAGGGCAGCGTGAGATGAATGGGGCAGTCACCTTCGGCTCCCCGCCAGGCCGCACCTGCCATCCAGGGACACACAGCAGCCCAGCGTAGGAGGAAGCTGTTTCCGACGAGCAGGAGGGGCCCGGGGCTGCCAGGTGGTTAGAGCTACTGCGAGCGCCAGGAAAAGCAGGTCCCACGGTGCTGGGCAGGAAGCCACCCGCCCGCCCGCCCATGTCCCGGAATGCTGCCCACATCACACGCCCCGCAGAGGGGCTGCCGCCTGCCCCTTCCTAGACAGGACACACCCCACTGCCCTGGGCAGGAAGCAAACAAGCTGCCAGCCAGCACATTCCTGCCAGGAGAGCCTCCTTGGGACCTGCACCTTCCTGCCACTCACGGCCCCGGCCAGGCCCTGCGCGTGGCCAGAGTCCCTGGGGCTCCACCTGGGCTGCCTTCACTGCCCCCTTAGCCCTGCCAGGGCTCTCGGGGGAGAAGTGCTCTCCCACGGTGGCAGCAGGAGCATTGTGCCCACTGCCTGCAGGCCCCATGCAGCATCTCTTGCCACAGCAGCCCTCACCTCCTCTAGAGCGGGGCCCCGACTCTCTGGGCACTGCCCATTCCCTGCCCTAGCAGCTGTGTCCAGCGGGAGCAGGAGTTACTGGAGCTGCTCCCCCCATGTCAAACCCAGCTCGGTGGCAGGGCTCTGGGCCGCTCTCCTCCCCTGTGCACACAGCACACACGGCCCCTTGTTTGCGGCTGCTCTGCAGGGGCTGCTAAGTGGCCAAGTGCCCGGAAACCAGCCCGTGACCTTTCCCACAGACAGAGGCGGAAGCGGCGCGTGTGCCCACAAGCCGATGCTCTCGCTGCACTAAGTGGTGGCTGCTATTTACGGGACGCGGTGGTCACAGGGCACAGCGGCTGCCAGCTGAAGCCGTTCCTTCAGAGACAGGGCGCCCTGCCCTTCGGCCGCTGGCTACGTTCCCCCGGGAACCCCCGAGTGTGTCTGTGCCTGCTGGCCCGTGTGACCAAGTGGGGGATTTTCTTGTTTTTTCCAATGGTTTGCATGTGGTAGGGGTGGGACTCAGTGTCCCTGGATGTTACTGGTTTAACGAGGTGAGGGGAGAGGGAGTTTGTGGTTACAGAGGACCGGAGAGGGAACTTGGGACCCCAGCCAATGGCCTGGAGGAGGGACACCCCAGCGACTGGTGACTTGACAACGCGGAGGCCCAGCTCCGGAGTCACAGCTGATTCTGGGCAGTGGGAGGACAATGGGCTGTGAAGAGAGGACCCCCGGTGACCTGACCAGCCGGTTCCAGTCAGAGGGGCCAGAGGACAGAAGAGAGGACAGGAGGCCCAGACGACCCAGTTTACGACCCTGTTTCCCTGGAGAGAAGACGATGGACAGAGGCGGGGCCTGGGGCTGGTGATCTCAGATGCCCAGCTGGGAAGGAAGGGGGCTCCGGGCTGGAGAGGGGGAGCAGGCAGAGCCCACCTGGATGCAGGGAGACTGGGATGTGCTGGGCTGAGGGAGGCCAGGCCTGAGGCCCTGAGTTTCCTGTGCTGGGTTCAAACACTCAATAAACCCTCCTGTGTTACGCTGGCTGAGAGTCGCTCCAAGCTATAGAACAGGGTGTGGGGGGGCCATTATTCCTCTGGGAGTGAAGGTCCCGGGGGTCCAGAGCGAGGGGACTCCCCGAGGGGGCCCACGGCAGAGACAGACGTGCTAAGGCTCAGAGAGGTGCGGCTCCAGGAGGTGGAGGGGCCTAACCCCGAAGGAGAGTGGACCCCCGAGAAAGGCTGTCGCACTGAAGAGGTTCCCCCAGGGACCGAACGGGGCCAAGAGTGGGCACGACCTGCCTGGCCCAGCGCTCAGAGAGCTCTGAGATGGGACTGGTGTACTGCGAAGCTTCCCAGCAGGCTCCAACTTCCCCAGCGCCGCATCCCGGGTGGGAGCTCCCGGGGCCGGGCCCTGCGCCCTGCACAGGGCCGTTAGAACTGGCTGGGACTGACTGAAATCCCCTGAAACTGTCCCATTTCCCAAAGTACCCGGGAGGCATCTCACTCGCCCCACAGCCCGCAGGAGCCGGTGCACGGACTGTGGCCCTTGGGCTCCTTCTCAGAGTGACTCTCTGAGCAGAAAGGGTTTGGGTTTTCTATAAACACGGTGAGGAAAAGCGGCGTGTGGGACCCAGGCTGGAGCAGCAGCCAGGGGCTCAAAGTGCCGAGGGAGGGAGGGTTCCCCAATGCCTGCCTGTCTCACCTCTCATTCTGGGTGACACTTAACCCCATGCTGCCCAGGCCCCATCCCAGAGCCGAGCCAGGCCGGAGGGCAGGAGAGACGCCCGGGCAGCGCAGGTCTCCAGTGCGCACCTGCTATGTGCTCTGCAGGCGGAACAATACTCCTGCCTCCCAGCACACGGCACGGGGGCCTCCCTGCTTTCGGCACCAAGCCCTCCCCCCGGGAACCTGACGCCGTGATGCCAGTCTGAGCCCATCACATCGAAGCTGTTCACTCTGAAACCTAATGGCAACACGTTAAAGGCCCATACATTAACCATTTCACTGCTGACCATTTCACCGGGAATACCCTGCTCCTGCGCTTCTGCCAATGTCCCAAACAGCCTCCCCAGGCACTGAGACGGCAGCTACAAGGGACTGCAGCTCCCTCTGCACCCTACATCACCAGGGTTACAAGGGGAAACTACAGAGATCTGCAGCCCGGAGCCTCTGGGCAGTGTAAAAACCAGGCAATTTAATAGCAAAATAAAGGACAGGGAATCTCCATCTCACACGGCTTCTCACTCACCCGCGCTTGGCACACCCCCAGGCTGCATTGGCTCAGCTCGGCACAGCACGGCACAGCACCGCTCAGCATGGCATGGCTCGGCTCACCAAACCATGGCTCACGCAGAAGCCTGCGAAATCCCCTCCCGCTGCCCAGGGCTCTTCACATGGCCTGGGCTGCTGCAGGGAGCCTTGAAAGCGAGCTGGGCAGCCTGGAGGCCGCGTTCCCAGCAGCGACTGACCAGCTGCAGCCAGTGCGTCAGGGCAGCGTAACCCAGCACAAGCGCAGCCCGGGCAGTGCCAGGCACAGGGCACAGCCACCAGACTCAGCTGGGCTACCGCTGCCCCAGCCCAGCGCACCAGAGCACTGACTCCCTGTGCTCCAGCGTCTCAAAGGGCAAGAGACGGGTGTGAGGGAGGCCAATGTCCCCCCCCCAGGGGCACACACCGGCGGCAGGGCCTGCCAGGTCCCCCAGGGGCGCACACACCAGCGACAGGGCCTGCCAGGCCCCCCCAGGGGCGCACACACCGGCAGCAGGGCCTGCCAGGCCCCCCAGGGGCGCACACACCGGCGGCAGGGCCTGCAAGCCCACCCCCACTAAGAGTCCTAATACAAACAGCTGCTGCGTTTTGTCAGCCGGACCCCTCTCCCCCCGCCAGGCTCCAGACGGGCCTCTCCCCTTCCCCCCATTGACACAGCCCGGCCAGCCTGTGTGGGTGCAGCTGGCACTGGGCTGCGCTGGCGTCTGAAGCCCACGGCACCACAGTGCCCCCCACCAAGCGCCTGCCAGCAGCCCTGGGTGCTCCGGTCTCCTCCGCTGCCGCCCTGGCTCAGTCCCGGCCTTCCCAGACGTCCTCCCGCTGCTTGTTCTCCAGGCGCTTTCTCTCTGCAGAGACAAGGGAGGGAGGGAGGGAGGGTGAAACCTGGCTCCAGGCCCCTGGGGACCGAGCAAGGGCCCTCCCCAGCCCCGGCTGTCCCAGTCACGCAGTGTCCCGTGCCCACCAGCACCCCGCGCCCCCCAGCACCCCACCAGGCCACCTGCTAGACGGGCAGGGCTCTTGGGGCTGAGAGCAGCGGGGCAGAGGGCCAGCAAGGGGGGGCCTGGGAACTCCGAGCCCGTCTGACCCCCACCTGTGAGCCGGCTCCAGGCCCCACCCCAGGAGCACTGCTTGGGCTCCACCTAGTGGCACGAGCGGATCCCTGCAGCCCAGGAGAAACGCACCTGGTGCCAGAGGCAGGTGGGGAGGGCAGCGAGCTGGGGGCCCTGCCCAGCGCCCCTGGCCCGAGGGGGCCTCTCACTCCGCTATTCCGAGTGGGGGCAGTGGGGTGGACCCACAGGAACAGGAGGTCTCTCCTCCACTCCAGGCTTTTCCTGCCACTGTGCCCCCGCCCCCTCCCCCAAGCAGCACCAATACGCCCTGGGTAGGAGTGGCAGGGACTCCTCGCCCCAGAGAGCACTAACAGTGGAAGCTTGGACAAATGACCAGGGAGGAGTATAAAAATATCGCTCAGGCATGCAGGAGTGAAATCAGGAAGGCCAAATCGCACTTGGAGTTGCAGCTAGCAAGAGATGTTAAGAGTAACAAGAAGGGTTTCTTCAGGTATGTTAGCAACAAGAAGAAAGTCAAGGAAAGTGTGGGCCCCTTACTGAATGAGGGAGGCAACCTAGTGACAGAGGATGTGGAAAAAGCTAATGTACTCAATGCTTTTTTTGCCTCTGTCTTCACAAACAAGGTCAGCTCCCAGACTGCTGGACTGGGCAGCACAGTATGGGGAGGAGGTGACCAGCCCTCTGTGGAGAAAGAAGTGGTTCGGGACTATTTAGAAAAACTGGATGAGCACAAATCCATGGGGCCGGATGTGCTGCATCCGAGGGTGCTAAAGGAGTTGGCGGATGTGATTGCGGAGCCATTGGCCATCATCTTTGAAAACTCATGGCGATCGGGGGAGGTCCCGGATGACTTGAAAAAGGCTAATGTAGTGCCCATCTTTAAAAAAGGGAAGGAGGAGGATCCGGAGAACTACAGGCCAGTCAGCCTCACCTCAGTCCCTGGAAAAATCATGGAGCAGGTCCTCAAGGAATCAATTCTGAAGCACTTAGAGGAGAGGAAAGTTATCAGGAACAGTCAGCATGGATTCACCAAGGGGAAGTCATGCCTGACTAACATAATTGCCTTCTATGGGGAGATAACTGGGTTTGTGGATGAGGGGAAAGCAGTGGATGTGTTATTCCTTGACTTTAGCAAAGCTTTTGATATGGTCTCCCACAGTATTCTTGCTGCCAAGTTAAAGAAGTATGGGCTGGATGAATGCACTTTAAGGTGGATAGAAAACTGGCTAGATCGTCAGGCTCAAAGGGTAATGATCAATGGCTCCATGTCTAGTTGGCAGCCGGTTTCAAGCGGAGTGCCCCAAGGGTCGGTCCTGGGGCTGGTTTTGTTCAATATCTTCATTAATGATCTGGAGGATGGCGTGGAATGCACTCTCAGCAAGTTTGCAGATGACACTAAACTGGGAGGAGTGGTAGATATGCTGGAGGGTCGGGATAGGATACAGAGGGACCTAGACAAATTAGAGGATTGGGCCAAAAGAAACCTGATGAGGTTCAACAAGGACAAGTGCAGAGTCCTGCACTTAGGATGGAAGAATTCACTGTTACAGACTAGGGACCGAGTGGCTAGGCAGCAGTTCTGCAGAAAAGGACCTAGGGGTTACAGTGGACGAGAAGCTGGATATGAGTCAACAGTGTGCCCTTGTTGCCAAGAAGGCTAACGGCATTTTGGGCTGTATAAGTAGGGGCATTGCCAGCAGATCGAGGGACGCAATCGTTCCCCTCTATTCAACATTGGTGAGGCCTCATCTGGAGTACTGTGTCCAGTTTTGGGCCCCACACTACAAGAAGGATGTGGAAAAATTGGAAAGAGTCCAGCGGAGGGCAACAAAAATGATTAGGGGTCTGGAGCACATGACTTATGAGGAGAGGCTGAGGGAACTGGGATTGTTTAGTATGCAGAAGAGAAGAATGAGGGGGGATTTGATAGCTGCTTTCAACTACCTGAAAGGAGGTTCGAAAGTGGATGGATCTAGACTGTTCTCAGTGGTACCAGATGACAGAACAAGGAGCAATGGTCTCAAGTTGCAGTGGGGGAGGTTTCGATTGGATATTAGGAAAAACTTTTTCACTAGGAGGGTGGTGAAGCACTGGAATGGGTTACCTAGGGAGGTGGTGGAATCTCCTTCCTTAGAGGTTTTTAAGTTCAGGCTTGACAAAGCCCTGGCTGGGATGATTTAGTTGGGAATTGGTCCTGCTTTGAGCAGGGGGTTGGACTAGATACCTCCTGAGGTCCCTTCCAACTCTGATATTCTATGATTCTATGATTCTAACACCGCCCCACGGATGGGCAGGGCGCGAGGGCCTGCATGGGGAGGCAGGCGCACATGGGCAGAGCGCTTTCTTGGGAGGCAGACAGGGAAGAGTTAATCTCCTGGCTCGTGACACGCTCTGGACATTCACCGTGACCGCGTTACACTCGGTCTGGTTTCCAGGCCCGCCCAGCTCGCTCCATCACTAGTTATCTGGCCGTTGCAGCCGGCAGGCCGCGAGCCAGCTGCCATGGGGGCCGGGCACACTGACAGCCTGTAGCAGACTCTGCCCAGTGGCCTCGCCGAGAGCCAGGTGCTGCCCAGGCACGGCTGTAGAGGGGTTGCAAACCGTGGGGTCGAAGGCAGGTCCTGGTGTGGAACCCGCTCCCCCTTCCCAGAACTGCCTGCCACCCCCAGGCAGAGCCCCCCCCTTCAACCACCGCCAGCAACAAAGGGCTGGGCTGGGCAGGGCCCGGTGGGCACTGCGGGGCCCGGGCCTGGGCCCCACCATCGTTCCGGAGCTAGCCAAGGCAGCCAATGAGATCTGCAGCTGGCACTAAAGGGGGGCAGGGCTGCAAGTGGCAGGTGAGGGCACCATGGCACAGGGACCCCTCCTCAGAGCTAGGGGAAAGCCTGGGGCAGGACAAGGGAGGAGCTGGCACTGCACAATGCCCGGGGGCGACCCCACCCAGCGCACGCACCCAGGGACAGACGGCAGGGCAGCAAGGAGCCAGGCCAGACAGTGGTGACTTGGGAGGTGGGCGGGTGGAGTGGGCTAAGCCAGGGCGGGGGCAGGAGTGTGCAGCCCCGGGCGGGCAGGGCCAGGAGCCACCGGACAATCTGGGGGAGCCGCCAGCCCCAGGGACTCCCCAAAGGCAAGCGTGGGGCCTGCTGGGGTTACACGAGGCAGGACCCAGGAGTCTGTTCCTGGCCCCATCGTGCTCTGGTCTGCGAGGCAGTAAAGCGCAGCCCCCAGTGGGGCTAGGAGCCAGGCCCCGCGGACTCCACCGGCAGCACAGCACAGTGCAGGCCCCGGCAGGGCTAGCCCGGGACTAGGAGCCAGGCAGCTTGGCCAATGAGTTGGGGGATTGGCTTCCTCACCAACCCTGCGTCCCTGTGTGGGAAGGGAAGGAGCGCTCGGACCGGCCACGTGGGCAGCATTTGCCCAGAGCCTGGCACACATCCTGGCAGCACCGAGCTGAGGTGGGCATGGAGCTGAGGCGCAGGGGCTGGTGGTGGGGGCTCCGCTGCCCGGGGCTCACTGCCTGCCCAACTCCCAGAGCGGCCAAGGGCCAGGGCGTAGCACAAACTGCCATCTAACTAACGCAGCCCGGCACCACCGTGCCACAGCCTTTCACCAGCCGCACCGCCCGCACTTCCCCACCCACAGAGCTGCAGCCACCTCTGGGGTGGGCTGTGGCCAATGCCTAACCGCCCACACAAACAGCAGGGGGATTTGGCCAGAATGCCAGGGATAGCGCCCGAATTGAGGGCAAGGCCCCAGGGGTCAGAGCCCATCCACGGCTCCTGTCCAGCAGCAGAGCGGCCCCTAGTGAAGAGCACTGAACACCAGCATTGTTTCCTGCAGTTCCCCGGTTCTCCGAGTGTGGCTGCAGCTGGAGCCAGCCCGCCTGCCGGCTCTCTCTGAGTGGAGAGCGAGGCCTGGGCCAGGCTCCCCCCGAACAGCAGCAGCAGCAGCGAGTGGGCAGCGTGGAGCAGACAGCTGAGAAACCCCTGCATGCCCCCCACTGCCCCGACATGCTGCCCCCAGCGCCTGCAAGCCGATCAGCCCCGGGCGCAGGGATGGAGGGGCAGATCCAGCAGCGGCTGGGAGCCAACCTCGGGCCTGCTGCAGCTTCTTGCGCTCGGCCTCGCGCTCGGCTCGGCTCTGGTTGCTCCGCACTCCGAGGGCTCCGATCACCAGCCTCCGGGCCAGGGCCGCAGACGTCTCCGGACGCTCTTTCGCCGGCTGCAGGAGGTCTGGAGAGAGGGGACGGCCGTCACTGTACAATTCACCCCAGGGACTGCAGCATGGAGCTAGCAGGGACGCCACCGCCCCAGGCCTGGCCCTGCGCACTGGGCTGCCCCGGGGCCAGACGAGCCCTAGCCCTGCTCCCTGTCCTGTGCCACCCCCAGGGGGCACCTCCCTACAGCTGCCCTCCCCATGCCAGGCCTGGAGTAAGCAGGATCGTGCGGACCCGAACCGGACGCTGGCATGCAGGGCCAGTCCCAGGCGCCCTGACCCCGCAGGGCACTGAGCACAGCCTGCGGGAGGGGCAGCGAGTGCCCGTGGCCCAGTCGAGCCGCGTCCGGGCCTCCCTCACCCGCCGGCGCTGCCCGGCCCCAGGCAGCATTCCCACGTGCTGACTCCGCTCCCAGAGCCCAGCGGCTGGGATGGGTGGTCGCCCCCCAAGGGCACAGCGGTGGCCATGGCGCCGCACTCACCAGCACAAGCCCTGGCTTTGGCCTTGGCCGCTCTCGTGCCCTGCGCCAGGGGCCGAGTCTTCACCATCACGTGCCTGCTGCTCAGGGCGTCGCGTGCTGCGGGAAGAGGGCGGGGGCCAGAGTCAGGGAGCTGCACCGAGAGCCGGGGAGCCTGCCAGCCAAGCCCTGAGAACAGGCCCCCGGCTCAGCAGTGCCGTGCCCAGCCTGCCCTCGCGGTAAGGGAAAAGCAGCTGCTCCTGGGCACCGGCTGCTGGTGGTGCAGAGCACGCCGGGCAACATGCCCATTTCTGTGCCATGGCCACGGCCGAGCAGCCCATGCCCACCCGGAGACCGGTGCCCTGGAGCCAGCAGCCCGCGGTCATTACCACCCGGCCTCCCCATCCCTCACAGGCAACAGCAGAGCAATGGAACCAGACCCCGGCTCTGCCACGCGGGGGGAGGGCACACCCAAGAACGCCCCAGAGGGCACAGCTGGTGGGCACAGCAGCCGGCCTCGCCCATGGTGGGCAGGGGACCCGGCGCCGGACAAGTAACAGCATCGCTTGGCTGTCAGCCAGTCGCTGATCCACAGTCCTGCCCGCCCCAGTGGGAGCCCAGGCAGGTCAGCCACTCCGGTGGCCAGCGGCCAGCACCCCAGGGGCACCGCCCCACAGGACAGATACTGCCGCCATCTCACCCAGGCCTCTCCTTCAGCAGAGACTCCAGCCTGGGCACCAGCAATGGGCAGGACCTTACTCGGGGCCCCACAGCTGCACCCGCCCCCGGGCACTG